CCCCCCAAAGAAGTCTACAGCATGATGCCCAGAACCTGTGAACAGATAGAACACCTTATGTGGCAAAAGGGGCTTTGCAACAGTGATAAGTTAAGGACTCTGAGATGGGGAAATTATCCAGGATGATTCTGGGGAAGCCAATGTAATCACAGCGTCCTTAAAAGTGGAGAGGGGGGCCGAGGTCAGGGGAAGATGGGACCACAGAGCAAAGACACAGAGAGCTCCAGACACAGGCTGGGGCCACATGTCAAGGAACATGGGCGGCCGCTAGAAGCTGGAAAGTACAAGGAAACACATTCGCCCCTAGAGCATCCTCAAAGCAATGAAGCCCTGACCACACCTGGATTTGTAACCAAGTGACATCCACGTCGGTCTTCTGAACTACAGAATTGCAGAATAATGAAACTGTGCTGTTTCAGTCCCTAAATTGGTTGTAATTTGTTACAGCAGTGAACAGAAAACAAATACAGTCCCAAAGGTTATACAGTCGCCCCTGGTGTGCTTCCACGCATGATAAAGTAAGTAGCCAGGTCGCCAGAGGGAGGACTAGCAACTCCTCTGGCTTCGCCAAGCTCTCCAACGCAGCTTTTGGCCATTTAAATCCCACAAAATAGGATACTTACCATTAAAGACAGTGTCCACCCTTAAAGATTTGGATTCCAGAGGTTTGAGACACAAGAATATCCGTATTTATCGGGTTATTGTATTAGAGATGGTTTCATTAGCGGTGGCTGGTGGCCCACACTTTGAGAAGCATTCATTTCTACTCATAAGGAGTTGACAGTTTAAAAATATATCTTTATTGATTTCAGAGAGAGGAAAGGAGGGGGAGAGAGAGAGATAGAAACATCAATGATGAGAGAGTCATTGATCGAGCCCGCAACCCGGGCATGTGCCCTGACCAGGAATCGAACCCCGATTACCTGGATCCTAGGTCGACACTCACCTGCTGAGCCACGCCCGGCCAGGCAGGAGTTGACAGTTTAGGTGCTGGGTAAATGTAAATTCAATCCGTAGTAGATAAATAAATATGTGTATTTCCCAGACAGGTCAACAACCAAGGACAAGGGGGAAAGGCTGGAGATGGACCAGAACACAGTAATCCTTCCATATACTTGTTTTTAACAAAAACTACTTGCAGAATTAAGCCAGATGAGATCTCTGCCCGCTCTCTCCCCTGTGGCCAGTGCTTCGGGCTCTGGAGCAGGTCAAGTAGAACCCTGGCAGCCCTGCACACCTCTCACGGAGAAGCATCCCCGATGAGCACAGACCTAAGCCAGAACCCTTCCCAGCCTCCCACCTGTCCCACCTGTTTCTCTGGGAGGTGGTGACGTGCTGGCCCAGGGCGTGTCATCTTCAAATTGAACCCAGCTGCTGATGGCCGAGGCCAGGTCAGGGGGGTGCAGCACGGGGCTCCCAGGAGGAGAGGCCGCTTCAGAGATGAGGCCCATCTTCTCAGAGGAGTCATCCTGCTCCGAGTGGGAAAGGTCCTGAGAGCCTCCATCGGCCACATGGTTCTCCCCAGAGGAGCTCTCGGACTGGTCTGAGGAAGATGACAGCCCCGGGAGGTGCTCTTCGGTGCCCCCTGAAACAGACACCAGACAGCACCATCACATCGTGTGCAGAGGGCCACTCTTCAGAACTGTCTCATGGTGGAAAAACAAAGGATGGGCAAGGCGTGATCACAGGACTCACCATTACAGCGAGTGGGGGTCAAGAAAGAGCCATGCCCATCTGCCTCTATGCCCAAGGAGTGTTTTCCTAACAGTGTGTGAAAACTAGAACCTCAGGGTGACCACAGCACTGCCCAGGCAAGGGGAGCCTGGGGTAGTCCTACTCAGCATTCTTATCCCAGCATCTACTCCAGCGCTTAGGGGTCACACACAAAAATGCCTACAGAGGCCACGCAAGAAATATAACTGAGTCAAAGGAGAAAAACAAAAGGCAATAGGGACTGGTGGAGAGTATGGCTAAACTGGAGAGCTTTTGTCTGGACTAAATTCATTTCAGTTCAGACTTCAACTCCGTGTAGTCCTAATTACACACGCATGCAGGCTGCCAGGGACCAAACCTGCACCAACAATCAGCTGAATGTGGCAGAGGTGCTTCCCCTCGCTTTGTTTCACTTTATTGGTTCTGGAATATTTAACAAACTTCAAATAACTGTGTGTGGTTTTTTTTTAAAAAAAAAGAACTATATTCTGGTTGTGGTGGTGATTACACAAATCTATATATGGAAAGTTCATTAAAAGTGGTCCATTTTACTGTATAAAAACTTTAAAAAAAATTCAAACTAGCTAAAAAACTAATCAAAGCCTTTAGATTAGCACTGTCCAAAATATAAAAATAAAAAGGGAGCCACATGTAATTTTAAATGTTCTAGTAGACACATACAAAAAAGTAACAAGAAACAGGCAAAACTACTTTTAATAATATATATTTCAAAATATATAATTGGAAAATTTATAATTCCAACATGTAATTGATATAAAATTTGTTAATGAAATATTTAACTTTCCTAGGTCTTTGAAATTCAGTGTGGGTATCTTACACTTACAGCACAACTCAGTGCAGGATAGTCCCACTTCCAGGACTCGCACTGGAAGGACACTTGGGAACTCACACTTGCCAGGTGCTGTAAATGGAGCAGGTTGGTTTCGGTCTAGCCGAGGCAGCCGCAGTAGAACAGAACCAGTTGACATGGCTCTGCAAATATCCCCCATATCCTAGCTGGACCTTCGTCCCTCAGCACCAGTTCCCTAGAAGTCAGTTTAGCTGTCTTCATCATGATCATGGGTGACACTTACTGACCTCTTTTCAAGTGCCAGGCACATGTATTAATTCACTGACTCCTCACAACCACTGTGAGGGAAGCACCGTGATGATCCCTACTGCACACACAGACAGACTGACACACAGAGATGTTCAATAAATAATCGATCCAAGGGCACATCACTCATCTCTGATGGAGCCGGGAGCTGAGCCCAAGCCATCTGGCCCTAGAGCCTGTCACTCTTAACAATTACACTTTAAAAATTGAGAAAGTCCACATTGCTGTTGGGAGTAACAACCAAAAGGGCTGAGCATTAAGTACATCGTAAATATCAAGTTGATGTTCCTTGGACAAAAGCAGCCAATACTTTTGCTGTTTCCAGGCCCTTCTTTGGGGCCCCAAGGTTCCTAAGATGCTACCTCCAGGTTTCTAAGTAGAAGAATCTGCATCTCAGGAGAATGACAGACTGGCTCTTTTTTCCATATGAAGATCCCACCCAAAGAATAATCCAGTGGAAGCAGTAACAAGCAGTGGGGTTCTTTGCCAATCTTTTTACTTAGGAAACGAGAGCCCTGCTTACCCTCAGAAGGGACAGGAAAGAGTGGATCCTCATTGAAAGAGATCCACTCTGACTGCTGGGTAGCGATCACATGGTCCAAGGTCGTCATGCTAGGAAGGTGCCAGTCATCTTCACACAGCTGGACTCAGGCAGAACCCAGAGCCATGTCTGGGGTAGGGTGAGGGGATGGCGGGGTGGACCTGGGCCTAAGGGTGGTCTTGCAGAAGGCAGCACTCAGAATGTAGACAGATTAGCTCTTCTTGCCTTTGGTTAATCTCCAACCAGAAATCTGTTTAAAAAATAATAATAATACTATTTAAAAAGGATACCATCACATAATACCCAATCCACGCAGGTCTAGGGCTTTCAACACTACACAAGGAGGCCTGGGTGCTATCCACTGCCCTTACTGTTCCGTGTCTGTCTTGTCTCCACCTTTCATAGGGAAACATTTGCCTTTAGCATCAAGACCTCTGTGTGTGCCTTCATATCAGACTTGTAAGTAATCTCATAAACTTAAGCAGTCAGATCCCCCAGTTCCCCCAGTATTATATTTTGGAAAGATATTGTTTTATATTTTAAACTATAATGTAATGTCATCACTGTAAAACAAATATAAAAACTGTCCAAAGTACCTTCCTGTTCTTTTACCAAGTGGTGAAATAAAAGCAAGCTCTTTCCTATTAAGTCAGTGCAGTTTCTTGCCTTGGGCAGGTAGCTCTTTGCAAGCCCGAGTTAAACCGCTGGCAGAAACCCAACAATCTCCAGATGGTATCTCCAACCACAGTTTGCCAATCAAGGAAAACAGAAGTAGAGTTATTTTGTTCATTTCGAGTAAGGGGGTAGGGCATATTTGCTTTAGTGACAAATGTGAGTTAAACACTTTTTTATTCTAGGCCGATGTGAATTAGTACATGAAAGTAGAGGCCTTACCTTTACTGCAATTATGTTCTATGTATGTAGAAGATTCTTTACATATTTATAGTTTTGTTTGTAGTGTTAATGCCCTTTTACAACTTGAACCCAGCTCTTGTTCTTATAATGAATTAATAAAATCTGAATTAGTGCAAAATTAATGTGTTTCTGTAAAAGAGCTACTATCCACCTTGTACAATATTAGTTCTTACTAACTACTCACGATATTCATTTTAGTCTACAACAATTGAACTCATAGCCTTCCAACTGGTGCACAATTAAAAGAAAATGTTGAGGAAATTTTATTATAGGTTATTATCTGCAGTAAATAATCTATGCTGGTGGAAATCAGCATAGAAACATTAACAGCTTTTGTTCTTTTGTTTTTGGTAATTAAAACAATTTGTTTTGTTGTATGATGCTTCCTAAAAACAACTAACATTTTATAGAATTTATAATTTTTAGAAACATATTTTCATACCATAATTCATTTAGTGTAATAGTCATTTTAGTTGGGTAAGACAAAGATTAATATCATTCTTTTACAGATGATTTCGAAATCTAGGCCGGATGAGTGATTTATCCAACCCTTCTGTTATTTCCAGGTCCTTGTTTGGTTCCTAAGCTCCTAAGATGTTTCCTCCAGGCTTCTAAGTGAACTAATTCTCACATTCCAGCACACTGACAAATTAACTCCTTTTTTATCCCCATAGATCCCACCCGAAGAATGCTCAAGCAGAGGGCATAACAAGCAGGTCTGTTAGATGCAGCAAGCTAGGAAGTGATAGTTGCAACCCTTGAACCCAGGTCTTTTGATGCCAAAACACTCTAATCTTTAGGCCACAGCCACAAAAAAGTACTAGAGAATATATAAAAACTATCACCCAACTGAAGCACTTTACAAACATCAATTAAAATGGAACCATAATGAAATGATCTGTGAAGCTCCCCATGCGGAAACCCACCCGGGTACCCACGCTGTACAGAGAATGCAAAACCCAGATATCTCTCTCCCAAGTCCCTCTCCTAAGATCCTTACCAGCCACAGACCAGAAATGTGCAAACCATCTGGAGAACGCGGTGCTCCAAACCAGATCTCCCAAAGAAGCACACAGAGCCCAGGCCCAAAGAGCTGATTCCACAGGCTTCTCCCAAAAAGCCTTTCTCACGCCCAAACGTTCGAGTCACTCAATGTGGTGATGGCCGCAGGCCAAGAGAAGACAGTAAAACTGAAGAGTCAGATGCCTCCTTTCCCAACAACAGCAACATGCAAACCAGGTCCAAGAACAACAAAAGGGCCACAACACATGTCCATGTGCTGACAACGCAGCGTCACAGCTCAGTGGGGAAAACATCCTGCAGATCCCGTGGCAATGAATCCACTGAAATTTGCAGGACTGGGGTGGGGGTGGGAGAGAATCTGGGGAAGAAAAGAAGGAAAAGAGTGAAGGTTATGGGGGAAATAGCTGGAAATTTTAGAGCTTGAAGGATGTAAAGACCAATAGTCCAGCTCTTAAGTTTTACAGGTGAGAAAACCGAGGCCTAAGGAAATACGGTGTAGCAATGGAGCTGGAGGGCATGGGCCCAGGACTTAGACCGTCCAGGTTTCAGTCCTCAGTTCAGCCCTGCACAGCAAGAATAACAAAACTCAGTAATTCTAAGGATTAAGCACAGTAATCTTCACTGGTGCTTAGTACTGGGAGTAACAAACCCTCGGTACCAGTGACAATGGTAACAGCAGGGGATCTCACCGAGGGCTTACTATGTGCCAGGCCCCATTCCAAGCTTTTCATTAATGTCAGCCACAGCCATCGCTGCTGTTGTTAAAGGACTCGCCCGTAGTCATTAGTGGAAGTCTTGGGACTAGAATGCAAATTTCACGAAACCACGCCATTCCTGTCATTTACACATTCTAGTTTCAGTGATTTCCCTTTTCAGGCATTTTTAGAGCATCTCTCCTAGATGCTAAGAGGAGTCAAGCATTCAGCCTCCTCTTTACAGACATAGGCGCCTGCTGGCTGAGGAACCAAGACTACAAACCAAAACGTATGAATGAAAGAAGGGCCCCAAAGATCTATCTACCCCCATACTCGTCCATCTCAGGTCCAGGCATGGGCTGGTTAGAGATGATGAGTAGTCCCAAGCCTGGTGGGACAAATTTATTATAGAGAACCCCCTATCATAACCCCTTGAAATGGATTCGGGGTATCTGCCATGATACGGCCACACCATCCATTAAGACATCAGACGCCATACCTTGAGGAGTGCTGTGCTAGCTGCTGGCGACCACAGAGGGACCCAATAATTGTGAGGCTAGGTTCACACTGGAGTTGGTTTCTCTGTGGAAACCTCACCCCATTTTTAGAACGTGAATCACAAAGTGAGCCTTAGAAGCATCACCGCAAATGAACAGTGACTCAGTCCCAGCAGAATTGACTGAGAGACACTAAATGGTTCCCTGAAGTCTCCAGGTTGCCTTTTCAGAGAGTAGCTTCTTTCTCAGCATCCCTTACACACTAAAATTCAAGGGTGGAGAATGCAGTTGTCGGGTAGGAGTCACAGAAATAGATTGGTCTTCTGTCAATCCTGTCATAGGCATTCATGAGCCCTGCGTGTCCAGAAATGCGCCAGGCACCCTCTGAGATAGTGACCCTCAAGCAGTCTGCAATCTAGCTGGGGAGATGAAAATACACAGAAGAGCAAACACTAGAAATCCAGGAATAACTGCCTGTTGGCAGATACACCGGAAATCCTGTTGAGCCACAGAGAGATCTGCAAGGGCTGGACGCATAAGGGAGTGGGCAGGTTCCTTGGATTTGAAGGACATCCTTGGGACAGAGGATCAGCATAACTGACAATGAAGATTCAGACCTTTGCAGGGCTTGTTTCTTGTTTCTTGGTCAGTGAAAAGATCAGTCTGATGAGAGGTGAGATGTCTAGTGAGGAAATGTGGGGACAAAGGATTGATGGCCTTAATGGCCAACACAGTAGGCACTAGACACAAGTAACTACTGAAATGTGGCTAGTCCAAATTGAGTTGCTTTTTAAGTGTAAAAAACACACCAGATTTTGAAGAGTACAAACATGTGTAAAATACCTATTTAATAATTTTTATACTGATTACATGTTGAAATTATACTTTGGATATATTAGGTTAAATAAAATATATTGTTAAAATTAATTTCATACGTTTCTCTTAACTCTTTCTTAATGAGGGCAACTCGATAGAAAATTTAAAATAATACATATGTGGCTCACACTATATTTCCATTGGACAGCATTCTTTATCTCATCCATGATGCTGAAGGATAATTTTCAATAAACAGAATTTGATGTTGACTTTTTTCCCTCCCTTAGTGTTCTGTCTTCTGGTCTCTATTGCTTCTGAAAAAAGAGTTGTTTGTAATTCTTATTTCCTCATTATGATGTTTCTTTTCTCTAACTGCATTTGAAATTTTATCTTTGGTTTTCAGCAATTAACTATGGTATGTCTATGTATGGTTTTCTTATAACTTATCCTACTTGAAGATTGTGCAGTATTTTGAATATGTCAATTTTTTTATTAAATTTGGAAAAATTTCCCCAAATGTTTTTCTCCCCCTTTCTCTCTTTTCCCATCTGTCTTCAAGAGCATTTATTCTACCTTCTATCATCTTCAGTCTGCTGTTAAGCTCATCCCATAAGTTTTCCTTCTGTTATTCAACTTTTCCATTCTAGAATTTTCTTTTCTTTTATACTCTCTATTTTTCTGTTGAAACGCCCTATATATTCACTCATTATGACAATATTTTCCTTTAGTTCTTTGAACATATTGATAATAGCTGCTTTAAAGGCTTTGTCTACCAAGTCCAACATCTGAGCCATTTGAGAGTTAGTTTCTATTGATTCTTGTTTTTCTTTTTTACTATGAGTAATATTTCCCTATTTCTTTGTATATCTAATAATAGTTGAAGACTTTCTGCATTTGATCTTCCTCTGCAGAGACTTGGTTTTTGTCAGTAATCAATCTGCCTGCTCACCCTGAACTTTTGTAGGCTTGGTCTTCTACTTTGTTGGATGGATTTGTGAAAAGCCAAAGATGTTTCCAAGCCCCTCTATTGCACGACTCAACTTCCAAACTCAATTTCCCCTGCAGATCTCAACGGCCGTTGGTTCTAGGCTTTGCTTTGGTGGGTTTAAAGTACGCCTTACTCTAGAGTAGGGGTTGGCAAACAAGAGCCACAATCTAAGCCTGGCCATCTGCCTTTTTTTGTAAATAAAGTTATATTGGAACAAAACTAAGCTCATGCCTTTCCATATTGTCTGCGGCTGCTTCTGCTCTACAACAGCAAGTCGTA